GAATTAAACGTAAAAAACAGAAGATCTACCAATAAAATGTAAGTATTTTTATTGTATTAACGTATCATCATATTATTCATGTATTTTGAATATCAGATATCACATAATTAATTATTGTATTTTTTTAGATTCAAAACTCAACCCGAATATTCAATCTACTCTTAATAAGTTGGTTGAAGAGCAATTGGAATAACGCACAGTTATCAATACTTTACAAGAGGAAATAAAATGTGAAATTTTAGAAAATCGTATGATTTTACAAAATATTCTTAAGATTTTAACGGCGGGACCATTAACCTTGAAAACTGACCAAACACAAGAAGAAAAACCCAAGCAACGTTTGAAAAGGAAAGATATTAAGAATATGTGATTGGATGTAAATATAGCTGTTTATTTTGATAAAATAATCTGTATTCACACCTAAATAAAATGTATTATTAACTTTTTTTTATATTAGGCATCAATGACGAAGGCATGTCACAAACTATTTCAAGAAAATAAAAACCCATCAGATTCTGAAATTGAATAAGCCTTTAAATTACAAATTTAAAATGACTATTCTCAAAAGATGCAAGTGCTTGTCAATTCAAATGGATGGGATGATTTATGGAATGCTGCATATTCCGTTATAAGTTTTTATTGTATTTATAATTTATAGATAAAAAATAAATTGTACTAATACATTTTTACATATCTTTTAATAAACAGACATTAGAATACTTTCGTAATTATAGGGTATCATATATTCGCAAAATAAAAGATTTCATTTATATCTTTTTAAATTTATTTTCTCAAAAGCTCAAAAAGTCTGCTAGTTCTAAGGAAGTCAGACATTGGAAAGAGTCAGAAAAGGTTAAACAAGCAAGGAATAATCTCTTAAATAGAATGGACAAAGATAACTCAAATTCACCACGTATTATTGAAGCTATTTTACAAAAAACATTTAATTAAGAACTTCAAAATAGTAATAATATTATATTCAGAGTCACAGTTATCTTAATGTTTTTAGATCTAACGTATGATCAAGCTGAAATTTCGTTCTCAAAGATATATGAGCGCATGAACAAATGGGAATCTGATCCAATTGTGCAAAAATGGGTAAGTAGTGTAACGTAACTAATATTTAATTAGTCTTAGCGATTTTTGACTTATTAGTAATTCTAACACATATTTATTTTAGCTTGAATACGAAGAAAATACAAAAGATAATATGATAGAACATAATGGTATTACAGAAAATTATGATAATGAATTATTTTATGAAGAGTTTATAGATCAAGAGGATAATGTAGAAGATAATATTAGTATTAATAGCGAAGATAGAAAGGAAAATACAGAAAATACAGATAGTGAGAATGATGTTTAATTATTAATTCATGTATTTATTAATTTCTAGCTAAAAAATAGTAAAAGATATTAAATCATTGCGTTGTAATAATAAAATTGTAAATAAATCTGTGCATTAAATAGTTTATTAAAAACATTGATATGCGTATTGTACTAGCCTTATTTGTGCATTGTTAATCACGTTGATTGATGTTGCCTTAGCAGAACAATGTGATTTTACATTGATCAATGCTCTATTAGATGTAACGTTGAACAATGTATTGATTCATATTCTTTCAACTTACCGATGAATAAGGACTCGTACTTTACGGATTAAGCCAGGATCGCTAATCCTGATATGCAAAAATGATTTTTTTTTTTTTTTTTTTTTATTATAAGTGCGACAGTCTTGCATGATCTTTATTAATATTTATGAGATTACAAGAAAAACAAAATAAAACAGAAAATACAAAAATATCTATAAACTAAACTAGAAAACTAATCTACTTTATCAATACCAACCTTGCACTTTTACTGAACTAAACTATATATTAGAAAAAAAAAGGAACTAAGCTAAACTAATATACAGATATTGAACGTCCGGAAGGGAAGGCGTGGTTACTGCCATACCAAAAATTTGACCAGTGAGAATCAAAAGCAAGAGCTGCAGAGAAGGAGGAAAGGTTATTATGTGTGATTTGTGTAGGTTGTAGAAGTCCAGAGGAGACTCAAGCAATATTGAAATTGTCTTTGATATTATTTGCAGTTTTCCAACTTTGTAATGATGTGTATTGTGTCAACCATATGTTGTGAGCTGAGGAGAAGATATCATCAAATAAGGATGATAGTAAATCTTGGGTAATTTGTTTATTATTGGTGACGGAAGTGATTGAGGAGGAAAATGATGAGGGGATGATTCCTTTGATGAGATCTGTAAAACATAAGTTATCATTGAAAGAGTTGCAATACCAAATTGAAGATTGATCAATGGCATCAATTAGAGTATCATTGTTATGTCTATTTAGCTCTTTGAGGTGAGACAAGAATGATTGTTTGTGTTTTAGATTAAGTCAGTAAGAGAAGTTATATTTTGGAGACAAGACCAAATGTGATCAAAGTCTTCAGTTGCAGTATTACATCAGAAGCAGGTATTAGTGGTATAAATTTGGGGATATCGTGCATTCATTATTGTAAAAGTGGGGAGTAATTGTAATACAATTTGATCTTGAATTGCTTTCGTTTGCATGCATCAAATGATGTCACCCTAGCATTTTCTGAATCATTAAGGACGTAAAAGAGAGTTTGCCAATCGATGTGAAAATTGTGATATTTAGCAAAATGGGAAAGGGACAAAAGTGTTTCAGTCCAAGATGCTTGTTGCATGTGTTTGATGAATAGACGTGGTGGTGTAATTATTGGTATGTTATTATAACTCATATAGTATTTTGGACCGAAGTGGTTGCTGTTGATACTCAACGGAGCACTAGAAAGTTGTTTTGCTAAGGCATCAACTTTATTATTAAGTTGATCTGATCCATGAGCTTTGACTTTAGTCAGTAATAACATAATATTGTTGTTTGTAATTAGTTGTAATAAAATCATCCAAATATGAAAATAAGGAATTTTGAATGCATGGTTCAGAAGGGGATTCCTCGCATAAGGTGATAAGTTTATGATATGAGGTAATTGCAGCTTGTGAATAAGTATAGATTTCAATTTTGGAGTTGAAAGGAGCTGTATATGTTGCAGCAAGAATAGCGATTATTTCAGCTAATGTTGAAGAGGAAGAGTGTAAAATAAGTGTTGCATTAAAGGAAAGCAGAGGCCAATTTTGATCAGTTTGTAACCACGCTATGCCCATTCGGCATTCAGGAGACCCTAAGGATGTGAGTAAACCATCTGTGTAAAATTGAAGAGAATTAGCATTAGTAAGTTGGGATTTAAGACAATCTAATCTATTAATGGATGTTTGATCGAATAGAAGTATATCTAAGTTAGGTAGCAGTTTGGTTGAGTATTGATAAGGAGAAGTTAATATAGATAAGGAAACTTCACGAAGCATAAGGTGAGACAAACTGCACCACCATCTCTCGCGGGATTTGTGAAAGACTTTAAATATGGAACAAAATGGCTTGGGTAATTTGATAGCGCAAAAGTGATGACGTTGTTGTTGTTTGTAAGGTATAAAAGCTGAATGGTCAAAGAGATTACATTTAGTACAAGGAGCAATAGATGTTTGAAGGCTTTTGGCTTGATTTGGCAAATAATGTTATGCGTGAATGATAGTATCTTCGACTTTGACTACTTTGCTCATAATAAATATCATATATTGGTTAGACAAAATTACAACAAATGTTGGGTTGGTTGCTGAAGCATTGAAGTTAGGCAGTCTAGTTGGTGTTTTGACAAATGAAGTGTGAGGGGGCACTTGTTGAGCAAGAGTCTATTCGAAGTATTGGTTAGGAGCTGCAACTCCAATTGTTTGAACCATTTGACGCTATGGAAAACTGAATTGTACATCATATTTAGATCTAAGGCCGTCAACAGGTAAGTTCCATCCATAGTGGTAAGTTGGTCAATGTATAAAATCGAGAATGATCGCAATTTCATAATATTTTGCCAATATACCTTTGAAGGAAGGGAATGTATTATTGGAAGCGACCCTCCATCAATTTGTTTTAGGTTGTAATCTTTGTTTATACATTATTGGAAACTAAGTCCAATCTGCTTAGCGGCTGACAGTAATCCTGACCACCAATCTGATATGTAAAAATGATTTTTTTTTTTTTTTTTAAATAAGTGCGGCAGTCTTGCATGATCTTTATTAATATATATGAAATTACAAGAAAAACAAAATAAAACAGAAAATACAAAAATATCTATAAAACTAATTTAGCAAACTAAACTACTTTATCAATACTAACCTTGCACTTTACTGAACTAAACTATACATCAGAAGAGAAAAAGAACTAATCTAGACTAAAGTATAAATATCAAACGTCCGGAAGGGAGGCGTGGTTACTGCTGTACTAAAAATTTGACCAATGAGAACCAAAAGCCAATGCTGCAGAAAAGGAGGAGTTATTATGCAGAGGTTGTATAGGTTGAGAGAGACCAGAGGAAACCCAAGCAACAGTAAAATCATCTTTGATGTTATTTGAAGTTTTCCAAGTTTGTAGTGATGTGCATTGTGTCAACCATATGTTATGTACTGAAGAGAAAATATCATCAAATAAGGATGATAATAAACCTTGAGTGAATTGTTTGTTGTTGGTGACGGTAGTGATTGAGGATGAAAATAATGAGGGATGATTCCTTTTATGAGATCCATAAAAAATAAGTTGTTATTGAAAGAGTTGCAATACCATATAGATGATTGATCAATAGCATCAATTAGAGTATCATTGTTAGGCCTATTGAGCTCTTTAAGGTGAGATAAGAAAGATTGTTTGTGTTTTTGTATTAAGTCAATAAGAGAAGTTGTATTTTGGGAATAAGACCAAATGTGATCAAAGTCTTCGGTTACAATATTACATCAGAAGCAAGTATTAGTAGTATAAATTTGGGGATATTGTGTATTCATTATTGTAAAGGTGAGGAGTAATTGTAATAACAATTTGATTTTGAATTGCTTCCATTTGCATGTATCGAATGATGTCACCTTAGCATTTTCTGAATTATTAAGAACGTAAAAGAGAGTTTGTCAATCGATGTGAAAATTGTGATATTTTTCAAATTGGGGGAGGGACAAAAGTATTCCAGCTCAAGATGCTTGTTGCATGTGTTTGATAAATAAACGTGATGGTGTAATGATTGGTATTTCATAAAGTATTTGGGACTGAGGTGGTTGCTGTTAATACTCAAAGGAGCACCAGAAAGTTGTTTAGCTAAAGCATCTACTTTATTGCTGAGTTTATCTGATCCATGAGCTTTGACTTTTGTCAGTGACAACACAATATTATTGGATGTAATGAGTTGTATCAAGATCATCCAATATGGAAATAAGGAATTTTGAAGGCAGGATCTAGAGAGGGAGATTCCTCACATATGGTGATGATTTTGTGATATGAGGCAATTGCGGTTTGTGAATCGGTGCAGATTTCAATGTTGGAGTTCGGTGGAACGGTATATGTTGCAGCAAGAATAGCAACTATCTCTGCTAATGTTGAAGAAGGAGAGTGTGAAATAAATGTTGCATTAAAGGAAATCAAGGGCCAATTTGGATCAGTTTGTAACCACGCTATTCCCATCTGGCATTCAGGAGATCCTAAGGATGTAAGAGAACCATCTGTATAAAATTGAAAGGAATTAGCATTAGTAAATTGGGGTTTGAAACAATCTAATCTATTAATGGAGGTTTGATCGAATGGAAGTATATCTAAGTTAGGTAAGGGTTTGGTTTGGTATTGATAAGGAGGAGTCAATGTTGATAAGGAAACTTCGCGAAGCATAAAGTGAGACAAACTGCACCACCATCCCTCGCGGGGTTTGTGAAAAACTTTAAATATGGAACAAAATGGCTTGGGCAATTTAATAGCGCAAAAGTGATGGCGTTGTTATTGTTTGTAAGGTATAAAAGCTGAGTGGTCAAAGAGAATACATCTAGTACAAGGGGTAATAGGTGTTTGAAGGCTTACAGCTTGATTTGGCAAATAATGTTGTGCATGGATGAGAGTATCTTCGACTTTGACTACTTTGCCCAAAATAAATGTCATATACTGGTTAAACCATATTACAACAAATGTAGGATTAGTCGCTAAAACGTTGAAGTTATATGGCTGAGTTGACGTTTTGATGAGTGATATGTAAGGGGCACTTGTTGAGCAAGAGTCTATTCGAAGTATTGGTTAGGAGCTGTGACTCCAATTGTTTAAACCATTTGGCGCTATGGAAAACTGAATTGTAAACCATATTTAAGTCAAAGGCCATCAATAGGTAAGTTCCATCCATAGTGGTGAGTTGGTCAACGTATAAAATTGAGAGTGATCGCAATTTCATAATATTTTGCCGGTAAACCTTAAGAGGGAGAGAATGTATTAATGAAAGCATCTCTCCATCTATATTTTTAAGGTTGTAATCTTTGTCTATACATTGTTGGAATCTAAGTCCAATTTGCTTAGCAGCTGACAGTAAACCTGACCACCAGTCCTTAAAGGGCTTGGTATCTGTATAAGGCCAGTCAGTTAGCGAAGATGATGGTAGCCATTCTAAAATTTGCAGTTGTAAAATTCGTAGCCGTGAAGTTGAACCAAGAAGTGAGATATCATTAGTTATCTTTAATAAGTCTACTGATTTGGCTTGAATCTGTTTGTCATACAAATGTGCTAAATTGTAACCAAAGGTTGAGTGGAGAACAGAAGAAGATATAAATCTTGAAATTCTTAGTTTCTTCTTGAAGAAATTTCTGAAGGAGGCCATCAGAGTGTCACAAGCTAACTAAGGAATAAACGTCAGTTTTGTTTTATATAAGAGATGAGGGATAATGACTGTGTTGAAGATTACAACTATTTGCTTAGCAGTCAGCCATTTTTTGCTAAGTACGTTTTTTGTTTTAATGAACTCATCATGAATCTGTTTAGTAATGAATTGTCTGTTATTAAACAGAGATACCCAGACTCCTAGGTATCTAGTAAATTCCTTGTGGTATAATGGTGGGAGCCAAATATTTTTATCATTGAAGTTGAAGTTGACTGAAGAGGAATCTTTGTCATTAATCATAAGGACAGATTTGTCCCAGTTGACTTGAATGCTGTTAAGTGTATAGAAGGAATCTGCTATGTTCATGATATTTAGGAGGTCAGATCTGAAATTTGCAAGTCAGAGTGTATCGTCCATATATGCCAATGTTGGAATATGATTTGAAAAACTTTGTATGTTGCGTTTTGTAACGTCAGTGTTCTAGTGGATACGTTGCGTATAACCGTGTGAGGAGTTTTGTATAAAACAAAGAAGCAGGTCGTAATATATACACCACAAGATAGGAA